GGGTCTTCAGGATGAAGGCCAGTAGTCTTCCTCGTCACCTTTTCCCTAATCGTTGCCCACCTTATCTGAAGTGTGATGTCTGTTATCTTCTGTGGCCAATCCTTTGGGTCATACAATGCACTATCTTCTGTCGATATGGTTCCACATCTTCTGCCCTTGGGGCCTTTATCTATGTTTATGCGAGTTTCTTTCTTCGTTCCTACAGCTCAGAAACTCCTTAGCTTAAGCAGACAACTCTTAGGCCTACTACAACCATCTTAATGGTTACGTGCCAAGTTTCTTAACATTTCATATATCACTTCAAAATGTCAGCATGTGCTGTAGCTTAATGTTATAATACAGTTTCTATTAAAAAACAGCTGAAATCCTACTTTCAAGATGCACATGTGTCTTATGCCCTTGTTTTCTGTTATATGTCAGGTTAATTAAAAAAAAAAAAAGTAGAAACATTTAGAAACATTAAAGATTTTTTTTTATTCCATAGGAAAGAAATGTATTTTTTTCCTCCTCTTCTAATCACAGTACATTTATGGATTATATTCATAACGAGATCTGACATTGGGGTTTTTTTTATATGAACATACATACTACTAGTATGTGAAATCACCTGAGGCTCCATAAAAAAAATGTAAGTAATAAAGTTATTTGCAAGGTAGCTATAAGGTAAAAAGTATTCACTAGTATCTTTCAGCAGAAGCTGAATGTTTACAGTGTCTTATGCACATTGCGGTTTTGGGGGGTTTTTTGTTTGTTTTAAGGAACCACAGACTATATAAGGATGTTCTTGACTTTACATCTACTTTTTTATAACCTCTTGAAAATAGCTTTGTTCTTTTTACCACTCCACATTTTTCATACCTTCATTTTTTTTAACTTCGTTCCTTCACAATTAAACCTTCAGTGTAGCATCTTCTAATGTAATTTGGACAAAACATTGCTTACAGGATAGCAGGTGTCAAAACAGTTCAAGCAACTACTTCAGAACTGCTGCATTATTTCAGTAATTTATAAAGTCAAAAAATGTGCCCAGCAGCTATGTGGGCAACTCACGAAGAAGATCATATGCCAGCTGCAAACACTCCCACGAACAGCATAGATTACGCTGGTTTGGCAGCAGCACTTCAATGTCATAGCAAAAAGTACAAGGGTCCTGGGAAATCAACAGTTACTTTCACTTCTGTTTCTTCCCTCTTGGATTTTTAAAAAATTATCTAGCACAAGTGTGAACACAGCCACAGTCACAGGGCAGAGTCGGGGCACGTTCCAGCAATATCAGAATCCTAGACACACATGTCCCAGTGTATAGAACGACCGTGTGAATGGGATGAATGAGGACATTCTACGTAATAGAGTTACACTGCCCCTGAAACACAGCTACACAGTCAGAAACTCAAGCTATGTTAAATTTATATGAAGGGTTTTATGACGAAATATACTACAAGCAAATCTTCCCTTTAGACTAGAATTACCTTCTCTTTTTCCATTTCTGACAAGATTTGAAAAGTGATGGAGAGATAACATAATTCCACACTTTGTAAATCAACTTAATATGCAAAGAAATTAGTTAGGCTAGTATTCTTCCTATGTAAAGTATTTTCATTTAATATGATCAGAGGGAAAGTAAAATGAAAGAATTTGGTGGGAAAAGAAGAACATTTAAATTTTTTTTAATGGTTAGCATAAATCTGTTCATCTGATCCTTCTGAAAATCTGGCAGGTGATTCACTTTAAGAATTTGATGAAAACTTAATATATGTATTATATCTTACTGTATAACATGCATATATATATACACACACGTGTACAGGCAATCACACAGTGGCAGGCCTCAGTTCTCCAAAAGAGCATATGGTACACAGCTTGCTTACCCACAGCAGCAAAGCACTGCCCTCTGAGGCACACCTCATGTACTAGTAGAAGCCATCTGATGGCAAAAGAGAAAATTCCAGCTATGTATGCCTTCACCTCCACCAAATGAGTTGGTTCTGACAGACTATTACAGACTGAACAACATTTTTCCTGAAGAAAAAAAAGAGACCTGAAACCAAATCTGGTCTAAGCTCTATTTGATATCCAGTAAGAAAATGTGTCAAAAGCAAGAGAAATAGATTTTTTTTCTTTACATGAACTAAGCCACGCTGGAGCAGACATTGTAACAGGTGTTTCACAGTGATTACCAGGGATTAGAGGAAAGGGTAAGAAATAAAACCAGGAAGGAAGGTTATTAAAAGTGTCATTTAGTTACACTGCTCAAAAGAGAAACTCCACACTACAACAAAAGCAGCACGAAAGCAATCATTTTGCCAAGTTATTTATTACTGAGAGCAAACCCCACAGATTTATTTTGCCTAATTTTCAGATATGCTGAAATTCTTTTGAGAGGGGGAAAAATTCATGGCATGCAGCATTTCTAAAAATTGAATTTCATGATGCTATCCACCAAAAAGTAATATAGAAACGCACTCTAGAGTAAGACTCCAGAAACTGCCAACATTCACAAAAGAAGTGGCAGATCACCACTATGGCAGTAATAGCCTATATATACACCAAAAGAAATGCAGAAATACTTTGATCAGCTGCAGGCTCTAAACTAAATTCTTGAAATTAGTCACAGAAGATTCACAAACACTGGAGAGCAGAGGAAGACTGGAAACAAGAGGTATTTAATGAAGCATGTCATGGCCAAAGAACTACTGCCAACCATACAGACTGCTTTTCTACAGTGCCAGGCAGAAGTGAGTCTTCCTTTTAAGCAAGCGAGAGTGTGGACTATTCACACGTATCAGACATGCACACTCCAGAGTACTGTGCAAGCTGTGAAATGATGGCAGCCCTTTGCTAAGAAGTGCTCAGCACTTTATAGTTCAAACCTAAGGAATGAAAACAAAATACATGGCAACAGCTGACCGTGAACAAATGAATGAACATGCTGTAATGAGAAAAAAACAAACAAACAAACAACAAAAAAACCCCCACCACCAAAACCACAAGGGAAAGGCTTAGCATGGAACTCAGTCAGTTTAGCTGGTGAAGGTGGAAAGAACGAGAGGACAGGACACAGTACTATAGAAAGTGTGCTCAGTCCCACAGGCTGAGCTCCAGGGCTTACCACCACATTAGACTGGAGCAAGTAACTAGCAGGAGGAAGGATGTTGTTAAAAGCAGAGTTGTAATCGTTGCATCTGTTTGGACTTAATGTTCCCAGAGCTGCTTTAAAGAGGTTTCACACTCTGACAAGCATTTCTCTTATGTGCTCGCGCACAAAAGAGTGAGTCAGTACTAGAGTTAGCAATTAAATCCACACTCTGACCTATATTCAAAAACGTACCAGCAGACCTTCTAAAGCTGGCTGATTGTGGGATGGGATACAGTGCTCTTGACTTCAGTCTTTGGTTCAAATTTAAATTGAGTTCAGGCTTGTATTTCAGAAGACACCTGATAGATTCAAGGCCTTTTATGTGGAGCACAGTGGTGACAGCATTCAATCCCCTTTAACACAGACTAGTCTCCCATCAAATCAGCCCAACTGTCACCTTTTTACCAACTGTGCTGAAAGCAACCAGAAGGATGAACAGTCTTTTTCCATTGCAGTGCTGAAGGGAACATATCCATCTATGGGAGAGAGGAAACCTAAATTACACATAAACCGTCTGAATAAATCGAACAGAGCACTTTACCTGACTCTATTGTAATGCCGAGGGGCTATACCCAAAAAGGTAAAGCAGCAGTGGGAAGTTAGATGCATCATCCTGCTTCCAAGAACCATCTCGATTCATTTTAATAAGCTGCCACTATAGATCATCTCACTGCCAAAATCTTACATAAAGCAATGATACATTCACTGCACACATAAAAAGTTCACGTTAATTTCATTTGTCTCCACCTTTTTGCAAAGTCTTCCAAGGACAACAGTACCATCAGACATCACAGAGGCAAACTCTGACTGGCATCCACCTGTGAAGACTAACACGCAGGCTCAGAAAAAGCCCCTCTCTTTATTATTCACAACCCTTTCCATACTCATATTCCCTAATGAACATTGCTAACGTAGGAGTCCATAAAGCAGAAAGGAAAAATGTCAGCATATCCACACTAGCGGAACATAAATGTATAACCCTGTAGAATCTGTAAAGACTTATCATAGCTTTCATAAAACTACTCATCCATTAGCTTGCAAAAACAGAAGACATTGTGATCTTAAAGATCCATAAGCCACCCTACATTTGAAGACAGCCTTTTATCCAGAGAAATTAACATATCTACCGTATCTTAGATGCATACAAAGCACTTAATTTTAAAATTCACAAACTCCTGAAAAAAACATCTTCATTTTTCATTTCAGATAGGCTTCTTTAGTTGAACATAATGCTCCTTTTATTTGCTTTAAGCTAAAATGAGCTTGCTTCAACTGAAATAACAGCAAATATACCAAGATTCTCAGCATTTTTTTTTTAATTAAATTGTTTCACACTCATACTCTGATTTTAACCTCTACAACTCCCCATGGTGACAATGTTATCAATCGTCTTCATAGGACACCAAAGCATTTTATATTTACAGCCACACTCAGTCAGGCTGCAGTGCACAGACATCACAAACCTACAGCAACGTAAAACATCAGATGGGTCATTTTTCCCTACGCCTTGATAGCATCAGAAATACAGCTCAGAACTTCACACTTTGAAGAGCCATTCACACCAAAGGCACAGCCTGCCTCCTGCCATGCTGCTTTTTTCAGACAAGGGGTCTTAGACATCACCTACTGTCAGGATCATACCTACTGAAGACAATGTTCTCTTTGTCATCATTCCTTTTCCCTCCATCAGATCAGCTACAACTCTGGTTTTGGAACTGATCTCAGACCTACGGATCCAAGAGCTGGGATACTCATGCCTGTCCATTTTAAGGGCTGTACTCCTGCGATATGCCAAGCTGTGTTTTGCAGTGGGACATTATGCCCTTGCTCACGAGAAAACACCAACTGGGAGCTGCACACTCACCTTTACAATCAGACTCCGGTGTTCCTCAGATTGACTGAAGTTCGTGCCTATTTCAAAGATACTCATCATTCCTTCCTCACACAGGCTCATCCAGGTGAGATATTCTTCACGCTCTGGAAGCCTATCCCAGAATATCTTGAAGACCTCCCAGACTGTTTCCTGACACACTGTAGGCACAAGAAAGGTCTGGTGTTAGTACAATAGGAGTGCTTCCATGGCATGGGTGGCCAAGATAGTATTGTCCAAATATTGTATGCTTCTCAATAGATTAACATATAGAACACAGTGACTAGACACCAACATGTAAATATATAAGGCATCAATGAGGCTGACAATGAAGATCTGGTGGATCTTCCACACTCACACTACTTCCCTCCCAGCTTTTTTCTCACTGAAGTAATTAGTTCCTTCATTAAAGAAAAAAAGGAGAGCAAGAGAGATAGCACCTGTCTCCTAACAACCATTAAGAACAACGGTATTTTTACTGAGTGAAACTGCCTTTGATCAGTGGGTCAAATTTTTAGAAAATTTTGAAAACCAAAATAGTATGGCAAATGTCCTCACAGAAAGTAGAGCTGGATCTTACTTAGTAAGAATGACGGTGGCACTGATCAAAGTTTTAGAGGCTCAGTCAGTAACAATTCCTTTAGACTCACCTTTACACGGAATCTCAAGTAAGTTTCAGAAATTATAATTGCATTAATAATTTGAAAAACAAGGCAGGATGATGACACAACAATTTAATATGCCAAGAAATAAATCAATCTCTAACCCTACTGTAATTATGCACTCAGAAAGAACTGGACAACTCTGAATGAACAGACAGTCTATGAATTAAAAGTTAAACTGTCCTTTACTACACCAGCTGCTTTAACTTCCCAGTCTTGCATGTGCTCTTTGTCAATCAGAGCAGTCATCCACCTAATGTTCAAGCAAGAACCTCTCTGTGGCCCAGGATATCTGGAAGAAAGGAAAATTTATAGGATTCTCATGTCCTGGAAGAGAAAAACGTTAAAGGAGAACAACTCTAAAAATCACTCGCAGCAGATATCAGCCTGGAATAGTAGCAGACAAACCTACTTTGGGGCCTTAATTGGATTTCACTACTTATATAGACACATTTCAGCAGAGGAATGCTTTGCATTCAGGGAAAGCCCTGACAACATAAGCAAGACCTGACAGGAGACTGACCATGAAACTATCTTCAGAAAGTCATTTTCTTCAGTCAGCTTAAAAATAAGCTCCAGGCTGCCAAAACCAGTACCTTACTGCTATTTCTTCTTGATGCTCTGTATTCTGAATTCCAAAATCATTTAAATGCACTTGTGTAAAACTTAACACACAGATCACATATGGAAAGATACCTTCATTCAATAGGAGAGGGGCATTCTTCTTAAATGCAAAGGCTTTATAAATAAGAGCCTTAAGGAACTGTTTCACATTCAGCTAGCACTCTTAAATCTTCACTGATTCTGGCATGCTGGATGGTACCATGCAGAAAAAGCTCTTTTCTCCACTCCAAATTTCAGTTTATCAGCGCAGTTGAGACCATTTCTTCATTGTGGAGTTCTACAGACACACAGATAGTTCTCACTTCCATGCCACGCTGCTGACTGATATCCTACACAGAGATTAGCCTTAGCTCATTGATATGTATGGCTAGAGAAAGAGTCCTCAAACTCTGCATTATTAACTGTCAGTAGTACATTACTGCTCTAGCACCCCTCCTGCTTCCAGGTAGTTAACTTAATCTGTAAGACACAGTAATTAGATAAGGAGCATTGGAGATGATTCCAATCGTTTTTGCTTATGCATCTTTATTAATCAGAAATAAACAGCCAAATTTACAAGCACCCACGCATCCTCTCAGGTTTCCCCTCAAGTTGTGCTTGCTTCCTCAGCAGCTGAGGAAGCAAACTCTTTGAGGCAGGGACCACTTTTCTATATGACCTCTGCACAGACCTCAGGCAGTGAAGCCATAATCCTGCTCTGGGATTTCTGCTGTAGTACTAATAAGCTTCCTGAAGCAGAATGACATTTGTAGTATCCTCTCTACCATCCTACTCAGAAGAGATGGGTGTCCAGGAAAAGACCAAAGTCCAGTGTCAAATCCAGATGCCTACACTATGGAATACCACTTGCTTAATTTCTTTTGATGGTACTTGTATCCTGCATTCTGACTAATGGATCTTTCTCTCCAGGTGCAACATTCTACAGCAACAATCCTGCAATTAAACTATTCCCTGGGGCTGGGATAAGTCTTCAGCAGGCTATCAGTAGGAGCTGAAGCTATGACAATACCTTGCAAATACATTGCAGAGGCACTGTCTAATCCTACAGTTTTCAAATGGCAACAAGCAAAGGACTGGCTTTCCAGTTGCAAGTAATAATTGGCAGTAATAATTGAAGGCATTTTTCCCTAATGCTCTTAAATAAGATTAATGTCCTTTTTTTCAAAATAAATGTGATGAGACAGTGTCTTGCCTGAATACAAGCTGCTACTGTATGAACAGTTGTCCCAGTCACCTCCCAATAGATTAAGGATTTGTGGCATCTCCTTTCATTTGGAATTAGACATCCTACTAAATTCTAGTCCCAAAGGTTTCGTGCCATCTGTGGGTTCCAAGCCCATTAATCAGACCTAAGCTGTCAGAACAGGGTCATATTTTCTGTGGAAAGAGGAAAGGGGATGCAGATAAGGAGCCACATTCTGTCCACTCTAGCCTGTGTCCTATCCAGCTATTTCCACTGCAGTGAGCAGTAACAACTTGGACAACATGGTACAAATTGCTTCCTTATTTGGAAGGAAAAGGCTGTCCCATGTCTTCTTCCCGAGTAGTCTGAGAGTTGTTAGTTCTGACACATAGGGAGGGATGAAAAACTCCATGCAAACACGACCATGACTGCCCTTTAAACACCTCTGTTAGCCTTGCCCAGGAAAATGCATCCTCAGCCAATGGTGATCTGCTTGCCACACACGGTCACCCTGCAACCTTGCTGACACGCAGTTTGTCTTGTCATTGTCGTGCTTATTCCAACTAGCCAGTTTGTAAAGCAGGGGATTGCTCTGCAGTATAACCCCAGCTGTAAGGGCTCAGCCTGAGAACCATCCCCAGGCATGCTTACCTATATGGTGTTCAAGAGTAAACTCATAGCCTGGCTAAGAAAAGGAGCAATTTTGTTTCGGTATTTCTCATATGCCTTTCCAATGTTTTGTAGTTAGATGAGAGTTGCCACTCCAAGCACAGAAAAATAACAGCACAGTCTCTTCAGTGTGGTTCACATCATGCTCACGTAAATAAAGAGACAAGCAGGACTGTCTCCCATCTCTCTTTCAGGTATGTCAGAGAGAGAGACAGTTCTTACCATGGCTTCACTGACATGGCCACCCAGAGAACTGGAGAGACACCACCTTCACAGTGCACTCAAGTTCTCTAATGAATGTGATTAACCTTCTTTTAACGCAAAGGTGGAGCCCAACCCTGTGGCGGCTTTTCAACTATCTGCTGGCAAGGGAGGTTTTTCAAAGTTTCTTATCAACAAATTCTTGAGAACTCCCGTATAAGAAAAATATGTTTTTCATAACTAGATGATAAGCATTCTGGCACTCGGTAGACAACAACTGGAGACATAATAATGTAAACAAAGTTGAATAACTAATACAGTAAATAACTGTAAAATAAATACTGTAAATAACTGTATTTTACTGTATAAAAATAATTCACTACCTTTTTCTTCTGATCTTCCAGCAATTTGCCAGTGTCTGTGTCACATATCTATATATGCTGACAATAAATGAAGCAACTTTTGACTAATAATTAAAATAGCAGCCCCCTGAAACCAAAATAGAAAATACAGGAAAATGAGGGGGTGAGGGGGTTGGAGGACACAATGAGGCAACACCAAACAGCTTTACCAGTAAGCTGTTTGACTAGCAATGTAACTTCAAATTTTAAATATAAAATATTTAATGTAGATAGGGAATGGAAAATAATTGCAGCATCAGAGCCTACAATAAATTGACAGGAGTCCAACAGTTCAGAGTTATGAATACAATATGCTGTGTTAACATATTCTATTTAGTAAAATAAATCTGCTGTACAGGCTTTGCGTTATGATCTTTTCCAGGAATTGGGTCTCTAAGGCTCGCTACAAACCCCTTAAAAACCAACCAGCCGAGGAGCCAGTGCTGCCAGGATCAGGAAGGAACTGCCACATGCCACCCCCGTGGCAGATCAGCCCTCAGGGCATGTGAGAAGAGCCTGTCTTTATGGCTAGATCTCATGCCAGACTTTCACTAGCCTGCTACAGGGGTAGCCACAGGCACAGAGATATGGGACAGCATTAGCAACACCAGGCCCGGGAGAAGACAGGATTTGCGATGAGGCCTCTAATCCCTGGCAAACAATACCGATCAAAAGCATCATAAAATAGAGATCAAGCTTTTAAGGCAGCAAGCTAAGTGCCTTGAAGGTACATGTGGGGAGGAAGGTAAGTTCCTCTAGAAAATTACTTCTTCATCCCATGGCTGCAGGAATAAATAACTTGTATTTTAATGTTAACTGATCTCTCGGCTAGTTTGCAGTTTTCCTCTGAAGAATTCAAATTTTAGAAAAATGAAGGCTTACAAGATAGAAATGCTCCCTGCTACAGAGATGTGATCATTCCAGCTGTCTGCAGGAAAGGAAGGAGACACACAGAAGATGTATAACTGACTGACACAATAAACCAGAACTCAAACCAAGAATGCAACCAGATGATTTGTTCTGCAGTTTTTCTCTAAAGTACATTTTGCATGTAGTCTATCCTGAAATGCCTCAGAAATTAAAGTCACTTAACTCATCCCTGAGACAATTATCTTCAAGGTGAGAGGAGATAGGAAAAATTGAAAGATCAGCATGTTGGGCCCATGCCCTTCTGCGAACTTCCACTTGAGCAAAGTATCATAGGCACTTAGAGTAGGCAAGTCTTGACTTTTCAAGGCCGTAACAGGTATCAAAGGTTGACAGAAATGTAGTAAGATCGTATGAATCCCAGCATATCTATCCAGAAGCCAAGAAGCCCAGCCCTTGGGAGCTTACCTGCTTCAAATGCAGTGTTTACACTCAATACTTGATGATGATGATGATAATAATAATAATAATAATAATAGAATAACCTGAAAAGC